AATAAAGGACATTGAGCCTATAATTAGTGATCCTAGAGAAGCTAAATAAGAAGGAGAGCCCAAAGAAAAACATATAGGCATCCTCCTGAATATTAACCTTCATCAGGCGATGAAAGGAGACAGAGACCCACATTGGAGCACCGGACATAAATCTCAAGGTCCAGATAATTATTCTTGATAGACATAAAAGCAAAAATCCTCAAAATCTTTACAATCTAAATTCAATGACATATTTACAAATACTTCATGCTAAAGTTGGTTTAATGCCAGAAATGTAAGAATGCAAATCAGTAAACACAGTAGCTCACGTTAGTAGAATAGAAACCACGTATTTCATTTCAATAGATGCAGCAAAAAAGTCTGCAACAAAATTTATCATCTCTTTCTGATAAAGAAAACATCCCTGAAGAAATGATCAATAGGAATAGCAGGATTATACCTAAATATAACAAAAATCATTTACAACGAATATATAACCAACATTATAGTGAATGCAAATAAACCGAAAAAAATTTCCCTCAAAATCAGGAATAAAACAAAAGTATCCATAGTTAATATAATCTAAGTTTGAAATCTTACCCATAGCAATAACACAAGGGAGAAAATAAGAGGGATAAAAAATGAAAGAAGTCAAGTTATATTTGCAGACAATCTGATCTCATCTATGAAAGACCATAAAAGACCCTAAAACATTACAAGAAAATTTGTAGATCCAATATACATTTTCATCAGTGTAGCAGGATACAAACTCTCACACAAAATCAAGAACTTTCCTTTGTATATTTGTTTTTCTGGAAAAAAAACCAACCTTATTAGCTGTAACCATAATAAATAAAAAGTAAATAGTAAATTTCTGAAGAAATAAATAGAAAATAGTAGAAGATGGAAAAGGCATCCCATGTTCATGGATTAGCAGAGTTAGTCTTGAGAGAATGGCCATATTATTAAAAGTGCTCTACAGATTCACTATAGCTGCCTTTAAAACTCTAATGACATTCTTCACAGAAGCAGGAAAGAATTAATATAGAAAAGCTAAAGACCCTAAATGTTAAACCTGCCTTTGAGGCATCACAATGCCTGATACCAAATTTTAATACAGTGAAATAATAATAGAAACAGTATGAGATTGACAATTAAACCAAGCTCATGGCTTAGTAAAACAGGACCAGAAACAAACCTATGCAACCACCCCCATCTAATCTAATCTGCTATTAAGAGGCTGAAAACCTAGGTTGGAAAAGAAACAGACTCAGTACTGGTGCTGGGAAAATTGGAAATCCGTGGGTAAAAGATAGAAATAGACTGCCATGTCTCACCTGCACAAAAATCAATTCAAAATTGAACAGTGACTTAAATGTAAAACCTGGAACTTTGAAACTGAAGGAGAGCAGAGGGTCCCATGTATCTAGGCACAAGACTTTCTGAATAAGACTCCCAACAGCTCAGGAAAGAAGAACAAGAATTTAAATTGCCTCAGGCAGATACAGAATAAAAGTTCATTAAGAGTTCATCTCACTCGATCAGAGTGACTATTGTCATGAAAAGCAGACAGCATGTGCTGGTGAAGAAGCTGGGGAAAGGAACACTGTGCCCTCATAGTGGCACTGTAAACTAATGGTGCATACAAGTCAGTGTGCCGGTTCCTCCACAAACTGGGGACAAAGCTGTCATTTGATCCAATTGTACAATTTTGAATGTGCACCCAAAAGGATACAGCCAAGTTTCTATAGATATTCCTGCATACATCTATATATGTATATACATATACATATATCTATGTATATGTATCTATACATATTAAAGTGTGTATGTATGTATGTATGTAGATGGAAACTGCTTGTTTGTTTCCTGGCTGCCCAGACCCAAAATAATCATACAGAAACTGTATTAATTGCAATACTGCTTGACAAATAGCTTAAGCGTATTTGTAGCCTGCTCTTACATCTTAAATTGACCCATTTCTATTGTTTTATAATTTACCATGAGGCTCATGGTTTACTGGTACCCGGGCATAGGCATCTTTCTCCTCTGGTGGCTACGTGGCTTCTCTTTGACTCTACCTTGTTTCCTCTTCTATCTGCTTGTAATTCCCGCCTTACTCAATTCTGCTTTGCTGTATGACAATGCAGTTTTATTTATTAACCAATGATATTCACAGCATAGAAAGGGGAATCCAGTATCATACATATACATAAGATATGTATACACATATATATGATTTATACATGCACATGTATATGTATATGTACACACACATGTATATGAGTCATACTGAAACAATGAAAGACAATTGTTCTAAACACATTGTGGTGATTAAATGTCAAATTGCCACAACCTAGAATCACCTGAGAAGAGAACCTAGATCAAACTGGCCTATGAGAACATCTATAGGAAGATTGTCTTGACTGGTAACTTAAATAAGCAGTCCCAGACCACAGAGGGTGGTACCATCCTATAGGCAGGGGGGCCTGAACTACACAGGATAGGAAAAAGCTAGAAATAGCAGTAAGCAGGCAGCAGTGGTCCATTTGTTTTTCTCTGCTCTTGACTGAGGATATGTTGTGACTAGCTACTTGAGTTCTTGCCTTGGCTTCGTTGGACTAAAACTGGAAAATACAAGCCCCATAAACACTTTCTTCTACTGAGCTGCTTTCAGTCACGATATTTTATCGCAAAAACAGAAGTGAAAGTGGGATAAACATCTACCGTGTGGGGGAGCAAGGTGTTTGTTAGTGAAAAGACAGGTCTTCTGTCCTTTCCTGTCCTCATACCACTGTGTTTATTTTTCTTTCTTTTGATCCTTGTGTCTCTCAAAAGCCCTGCTGGGAAGAAAAAGGGCAGTTCATTCAGGATCTCTACAAGGATCATTTGGTGAAAGGCCTGTCTGCAGGATACTGATGTGACAGAATGTGGCCTGGAGATCTGTGCCTGCAGGTGCAGCGGAAGTGTGGGGATAAACCCCAAGACATTATGGCTGCAGAGAGCTCAGGCCTTTGAAGACAGGACCTTAAGAAGAGTATGTGAAGGAAAAGTTCTAACTTGTCACGTTGGCAAGCGAGACAGGAATTTCTGACAGACAGGAGAAAAGTGCAAGTGTGAAGTTTTTCAAGGTAATGAGATCCTTCTGTGGACATGGGTTCTTTTCCCCTTTAGCCTTCCAATAGGACTGCCAGGGCTCTCTCGAGGCTTCTTGGGAGTATTGAGCAACCTGGCAGGAGAGCAGGCTTGGCGAGTCTTTGACTTCAGAGCCTGCACTGCTTTGTGCCCAGGAGATAAGGGGGATGCTGGATAGAGTAGCTGGGTCACTTAGGAGCTCAACAGCATCTTCCTTACACTCATTTTGTATTTTCTTCTTTGGTTGTCAAAACTTTTGTTTACAACAGTCCTCTTTTTCCTAGTCTTTCTTTCATTCCCGTGCTTGTTCATGAGCTAAAATATTCAAACATTNTTTCTGTGTGTATGCCTGAAGGCCAGAAGAGAGCATCAGACCTCATTACAGATGATTGTGAGCCACCATGTGGTTGCTGGGAATTGAACTCAGGACCTTTGGAAGAGTGGGCAATGCTCTTAACCGCTGAGCCATCTCCCCAGCCCAAAATGTATGTTTTTTTTTTGTTTGTTTGTTTGTTTTTGCCAAGACAGAGTTTCTCTGTGGTTTTGGAGCCTGTCCTGGAACTAGCTCTTGTAGACCAAGCTGGCCTCGAACTCACAGAGATCTGCCTGCCTCTGCCTCCCAAGTGCTGGGATTAAAGGTGTGCGCCACCACCGCCCTGGAATTCTTTTCATACATAAAGAAGTATGAAATTATATTATTTTAGGAAAATGTATGTAACTAGAAATAATAATATCAGGTGAATTAAGGCAGTCTCAGAAAAAATAAATGTTTTTGAAAATCATGGTTCATAGGTTTTATGTAGATGTGGAAATTTATAAAGAGGAGAGGGTGTGTAGGAGGAGTCTGCTTGTTTGTCCCAGCCACCCAGAACTGAAATAATCACACAGAAACCATGTTATTTAAATCACTGCGTGGCCCATTAGCTCTAGCTTTTTATTGGCTAACTCCTATATCTTAATTTAACCCATTTCTATTAATCTGTATATCACCATGAGGTCGTGGCTCGCCAGCAAAGTTTCGGCACGTCTATCTCTGGCACAGATCCATGGCATCTCCCTGACTCTGCCTTCTTCCTCCCAGAATTCAGTTCCATCTTCCCTGTCTACCTAAGTTCTGTCCTATCAATAGGCCAAGGCAGTTTCTTTATTCATTAATGGTAATCACAATACACAGAGGGGACTCCAACATCAAGGGTGTGTAACTAACTTGTAAATCATTACAGTTCTCATGAGGCGAAACATTTGCTGCATTTGGGTTTCTTGATTTTTAGAAACAGAACAGGACAATGCATGATGCTCTCTGTATTCTCTAGAGCAGTGCAGCTAAGGACAAGACCACAGAGTTAAGAGCCCAGTTGCCTGTGTTTAAACCTCAGCTCTACAGGTACTGTACCTGGAGCTTAAACATGCTTTTTTTTTTTTTTTTTGCTTCATTTTCCTTGGCAAAATGGGTATGATACAAGCTGTGTGCATAAAGCACTTGAGACCTGACAGCTGGTAACTCTGTGTGTGTTATGCTCATCCTAGCACCTAGGAAGCTTGGGCAAAAGGGTACAGAGTTTGAGACCAGCCTGGGCTACAGCATAGGATTGTCTCAAAAAGGAAAGCAATACCTTGTGCATAGTGAATGTCAGTAATAGACATTGCTGAGCTAGACTCCGATCTTCTAGTAGATTTGTCCTGTTTTTAATTTCAGAAAGCACTTATTTTGAGGGTAATTTACATGTCTGCTGTGTTTTTGCTGTGGGTCAGCAGAATATAATGCGCCACCTGCATGCCTTCCATACAGGTGCACAGGAGTGGGCAGAAAATAGGAAAGAACTGTTTCTTGTGATTTAAATTATATCTCATAGTCTTGAATCTGTTTTTTTTTTTTTATTTTCCAGATTAAATTCACTTCTGAGGAAAAACAAACAAAAAATAAACAGAGCAAACAGAACAAAAAACAAGCTAGCAGAGTGGTCAGTAGCAGCTCAATGGACCTGGCTCTGGAAAGCAGCGAGTTTGTGAACAGAGTGTGGGTCCAGTGTGAGAATGAAAGCTGCCTGAAGTGGAGGCTGCTGTCTCCTGAGGCTGCGGCCAGGGTGGAGCACAGCGAGCCCTGGTACTGCTTCATGAACGCTGACTCTAGCTACAACAGCTGCTCAGTTTCTGAGGAGGAGTTCCCTGCAGAGTCTCGGTTCCTTGAAAGTGGATATAAGATTGTATATTCACAGCTTCCTCTGGGAAGCCTGGTTTTGGTGAAATTGCAGAATTGGCCAACGTAAGTAAGGGATTTACTTGTTGTTTATTACTTATTAATTATTATCACTTAATTACTGATTTCTTTAATTTTTATTACCTTTACTTATTTTCATGTGTGTTCGTGGGTCTGTGTGCATGAGTGTGTGTGTGTGCATGAGGGTGTGTATGATTGTGTGTGTGTGCATGAGTGTGTGTATATGAGTGTGTGTGTGTGCATGAGTGTGTGTGCATGAGTGTGTGTGTGTGTGTGTGTGTGTATGTGATGAGTAGATGAAATACCAAGACCGTTTCACTTGCTAGGCTAGCATTACTGCTGAGCTATATGCTTAGCCCTGTGCTTTGCATTTGGAGTGGATTTGTCTGTTTCTAACTTTTCACCCAGAATTACTCATATTTTTACAAAATAGACTTCCACATTTACAGAAGCCTTGAGGTCACAAAAATTAGGTGTAAGTGTAGTTTCCACATGCCTTCTGTCCACTCAGAAGTCAGTCACTCTTCTGCTGACACCCCACGCCATGTGATTTGTTAAAATTAATGAACCTACTTAGACACATGCTAGTTATCTCCAGAGTTCATGGTGCACATGAGGGTTCACTCTAGGCTTACACTCCGTGTTTTGACAGGAATAATCTCACAGTCAGTTCTTCCTCCTCCGTGTGGGTGCTGGGGCTGGAACTCATGTCATCAGGCTTGTTGGCAAGTGCCTTTACCTCCTGAACCATCACAGTAGTTCCTTAATTTCCAGTCTCTGATACTGTCTTTGTCATCTGAGTTGTGTACACTCTGCTTTCTTAAGTAAGAGTTAGGTAATTCAACTCATCTCTTATTTTTTCATCCTAATTTAAACAAACATCCTAATTTAAAAAAAATATAATTTTTTTCCAGGAACTGTGATAAACATTTTATTCATCTTGAAATCGTTGCGAATTCTTTATTGAAATGGGTTATTTATAAGTGTGTTTCTAAAGGACAAACATTTGAGGATCTTAATTATTCCTTACATGCTTAAAATATTTTTCATTAAATTTACATGTATTTCTTTATATTTTAGAGCTTTGAATTATGGGTCGAATTTCCAAATATATACTATTTTCAGTGTATAAGACTTAGAATCTATTTAAACTTTCTTGACCTAAAGGCAGTTATGCTGTCCCATCATATGACTGGATTTTGCCTCAGGACTCTATATTATCATTGAGGCAATCTTTTCTATCTTTGGTATATCATTTTCTTGAACTGTTCTCATCTTTTTACCCCTTTAAAAATTTAAATATTTCTCCTCTTCATATTTTTTCTGAAGGTGCCAGTTGTTATTTTATTCCTTCCAATTTGACATTAATTTTTGAAGTTTTAAAAAGGTTTTCATTAATTTTAATACTTTTCTATCTTTAACCACTCATTTTAAATGGTTTTCTAGTTCACACATGTACATTGTATCTACTCTGTTTTCTTTAATTCTGTTAAGGCAACTTGAAATCTTAGTGCAATCTTATTTCCTCAAAACCATTCCTCTGTGGAAAGCTTTCATCTTTTGATATTTTTGTCTCATGCTATTTTTACCATACTAACTTAGTATTCGCTTCTTCTGGGATCCTGTGGGGATGGAAGAGGCTGGGGAAGTAAGTGATTTGCTGTGTGCCCTGCCTGACCTGGGCTCAGAGCTCTTTCCACCTAGCAGCAAGCCTCAGGCCTCAAGGCCAAGCAGTGCCAACCAGCAGAGGTGTTTGTGCTTCACCACAGAGGGAGAGGCCACCACACACTGCTCTCCACAGTCGCAGCTCCTTGCTCCCCAGACTTCTCATCTGTTTGGGTCCAACCTCTCAGTCTCCTAGGGTACGTCTGTGGTCATCTCCCACTCAGACCTGTGGCAGGGTATCCCTAGGGTCCCTAACTTGTAACTGTCCCTTGTTTTCAGTAACTGCTTACTCTTCCAGACAATGGCTGTCTTCTCTAGTGGTAACTGGACTCCAGGGTGTGACAGGAGAAGCAGTGGATTTTTTCTCCTTGGCCCTGGAGAGCAGAGGGGAAGCTGTGGACTGGCTCCTTCTGTTCTGGGTGTGCTGGTTCTGGCACCTCTTTGGGAACTATCAATGTCTGTTCTCTCTGTTAGTCCAGTTCTGAGCTCCCCGGAGTCCCATAGGGGAAGACTAATCTAGCAACCAAACAAGTTCCTTTGCTCCTGGTGATCCTGTCCTCTTGGCTTTATTTTTTTTTCCCAGCAGTTTGTTTGTTTGTTTTTTAAATCAGAGATATCTTTTTTCCTTGGAAATGATCTCTGTTAGATGTTAATGTTCCCAGGATTCCTCAGTGTTGCAGCATATTCAGAATTGCTGTCACCTCGTTGCAGTTTAGCCTGTTGCTGTCAGTTCGGCTTGCTGTGCTCTCCAGCTCTCTTCTCTCAGATTTGTCAGATGATCCCTGGGATTTGCCCATTCATCCTTCTTTCCTCTCACAAACACCAGTGCTGCAGGTCCCGTAGGACTGTCTCACTGATCTGTTATGCGCATGTGCAGTGGCGCTTCACTCAGCTTCATCACGGCAGTTGTAGGGCAAGTGTAGTGCAGCTGTGCTTGCTCGCCCTGTATTTCTGAAGAAACTGTGCAGGATTGAGTCTGTATCACCACCAACACTACCCTTCTGGAACCTTTTACTAGTGTTCTGAACATTTACACTACAAAACTCAAGTATATTGATGTATCATCTTGGTCTCTATCAAGACCATAAGGAATTGACCATAAAAAGAGGTGCTGTGACAGGCCTGTTTTGATATGTACATATGTGCAATAGACCTTATAGTCAATATGTAGGCTTAGGTTCTTGCTTTCTCACTATTTTGTGACAAATTGTGAACCCCAAACATTCATATTTTGAATGCTGCCATAACTCCTAAGACCTCAGAATATGACCATATTTGGATGTAGGACCTTTGAAGAAGTGATTAATTACAAATGAGACCTATTAGGGAATGCTTTAGTTCTATTTTGCTGGTATTTTTGTAAGGCAGAGATTTGGGCATGCACATGCAAGGACTGAAAACACAGTAGAAAGGTGGCATCTGCCAGCCTGGGAGAGAGAGTAAAGAAGCTCATTGCTCATGCTTCAGTCTTGAATTGCTGACCTACAGAAGCTGTAGAGAGTAAATGTGTCTCGCTTCTTCAAGTCTGTGATATTCTCTTACAACAGCCCTAACAAACCCATACACTTACTCCCTAACAAATCTGTGACATCTCTGTCCTTTCGTTATGAAGGCTTTTCTGGGGATCAAAATGACAATATTGCAAACATTGTTATTACCTCCCACATTAACATGAACATCAGTTGGTCATATAAGACCCAGTATTTTAAGGGACATGAAATATGAAATTTACTGAAATTATCATAAAGGGATTTGAGGTTCTCCATTACTTTTCATCTCTAAGCAAATGTTTGAAAGCGGAGTGAAAATGTATTTGAAAGCAATTCTCACATCGGAAGTTTGAAGTTTAGTAACTGTATTTCAAGAAATGAATTTGCTTTTATCAATTAATATATTTGAAGAACAGAAAAGTTCACTAGGAATTAGTAACTGAGGCAAAGAACTTAAAATTTTACATGAAATATGTTTAAATCTAGTCCCTAAATTACCTTTAATTTGTGATTACTGTCATCGACATGCTTGGAAAACAGCTGCATCTCCCCTTCTTCGGAGAACAATGCATTTGACTGTGCGTCATTTATGTTCCTTTTCATGAGCTAAGTTGAACACAAATTTAAACTTCAAATTAAGAAACTGAAATCTACTTGCATTGTTTATTCAATGGCACAAATGTATAGAATGATAATAACAAGACAAATTACAATAGTAAAATGTAGAGGTAGAATTAACCCACAAGAAACCATCAAAAATCCGCTCTTAATTAGGCAGTACGCTAGATCCTCAAGTACAAAGACAGCTGCTGCCTGCAGAGGAACTTAGAGCACAGCACTGATGGGAGACTTCATAGGCAGCTCTTAAGGTCAGAGCCACCATCTTGCCAGCATCTAGAGTTTCTATTGCTCAGATAACTTGACTCAAGAAAGTTAAAGAGATGAGCATCCAAACTGCCTAGGCTCCCACAAAGCCAGTATGTGCAGTAGGATCAAAAACCCATTGCCATTGTTCTTGAGTTCTCAGTAGTCCTCATTGTCTACTATGTTCAGCTAGTCCGGTTTTATCCCAGGCTTTTTCAGACCCAGGCCAGCTGGCCTTGTTGAGTTCCTGATAGAACATCCCCCTTGTCTCACTGATTGCTCTTTGGACTGACGAGGGACGGGGACTTGGTTGGGGTAGGGGGAGGGAAATGGGAGGCAGTGGCGGGGAAGAGACAGAAATCTTAAATAAATAAATAAATAAATAAATAAATAAATAAATAAAATAAAAAGAAAGTTAAAGAGAGCTGGGCGATGGTGGTGCATGCCTTTAATCCCAGCACTCGGGAGGCAGAGGCAGGCAGATCTCTGTGAGTTCGAGACCAGCCTGGTCTACAGAGCTAATTCCAGGACAGGCTCCAAAGCCACAGAGAAACCCTGTCTCGAAAAACCAAAAAAAAAAAAAAAAAGAAAGTTAAAGAGAAACTGATGCAGAATCTTGAAATGCGTATTTAATCCTTTTCTTTCTTTCTTTCTTTCTTTCTTTCTTTCTTTCTTTCTTTCTTTCTTCCTTCCTTCCTTCCTTCCTTCCTTCCTTTCTTTCTTTCTTTCTTCTTTCTTTTTTAATAAAAGCAAAAGGTTCTCAGGAAAGTAGTACTTGTTGGTCCCATAGTTAATTGTCTCCCACATTCACATACTAATGAACCTGTAAATGCACACACAGAGCCTCTTGCTAAACACGGGGAGATATTTCTACATATTCATAATCATATTAGCTTCCTCTGGTTGCCATAACAAAACAGCACACATTAGCTGGCATACATAATGCAGATGTGCTTTTCCACAGGCTCCAAGTCCTGAGATCAAGGTTATCATGGATCATTTCTTTGAAGGCTCTCTCCTTAAGAATGGCCACTTTCTTGCCATGTGCTCACATGGTCTTCCCTCTGCGTGTCTGTGTCCTGATCTCTTCCCATGGGGCAGGCAGTCTCGGACACAGAGCCTGTCCTAATGAGCTCAATTCTAACCAAGTTACTTCTTGTTGATTTGAGACAGGCTCCCGTGTGGTTCAGCTGGCCTTGGACCACACACAGTCTTCCTGCCTCCACCTCCGCAGTGCTGGCAGTCTGTCCATACAGCACCATGCCCGGCGTTCTTAGTCCTTTCTCTGCATACAGTCACCTTCTGAGATACTGGAAATTAGGTTTCAGCATCTAAATTTGGCGGGACACATATCAGTCTTATGATGACATATTTTTAATTTCTCAAACAAAAAGTATAAATCATACATGTATTTGAACTTTATAACTCATTAGGAACCACAGCAAGAACTAGATGCCTCTAGAAGGCCTGCCACCTGGTAGACGACAGAGTGAGGGCACAGGTTTTCCCACTTGAATGCTGTGAACTCTCCCACTTTCAGAGCTGCTGGCAGCACCGAGCTTGGCAGGCGCGCAGTGGCCAGTGTTACCATGTGAGAGGGACATAATCCAGATGTTAAGCTGTAAACTGTCAGATCTCTGCCAGGGCTCTTTATCACGGGGTCCTGACTTGCTTTTCTGCCTTTCCTTCCTGCTTTAATTCCACAGTGGCAGGCCAGATGTTGGAATGTTGGTAAAATATTTAAAACTTAATTAGAAACAGGCATGCTGGTATACCTGTAGTCCTAGCACTCCAGAGGATGAGCCAGGGGGATCATTTGAGGCCAGAGCGGGAAACAAATTAAATGTGTGTGTGTATAAAATTTTGCTATGGATAAAATATGGATTGGATCCTAACAGCATTTCAAATTAACAACTTACATTTTGCTACTTGAATACAAATTGATCGTTTTAATTTCAGAGGTGTTTTCTAAGATAGTCATTTTATATAAGGTAACATATGAAATGTATAAGAAAATGTTGATTTAATACACAGGATAAATAGGACACATAGCAATAATTAGCATGCTTTATCTGTAGGCAAAAGTAGCCTTTCTGAGCTAAACATCTACTTCCTGTTACATTTTTGAGCAGATGCATTACTTGAAAATTCCAGTTTTCTTAGTCAGTGCTAAATTTGCTTGTTCGTTTAAGATAGGATCTCACTGCGTAGCCAGGCTGGCTTGGAGCTAGACAGACCAGGCTGGCCTCAACCTCACTGAGATCCGCCTGCCTCTGCCTTGTGAGTGCAGAGATTAAAGGTGTGCGCCATTTCCTGCCTAACTTTATTTTCATGTATATTCCTAATCAGGAAAATTGAAGATGATTGTGACCTGTAAGTCTTTTGGTTGTTACAGTTTCTTTTTCATATAGAATTGACTAAATCAAGTAAATAGAGCAGACATGGCTTTTCTCACAACTGCAGTTTTCAGGGCTAGCTCTCTAGTTTCTGGTTTGGACTCCAGATGGGATGTTGTTTGCAGCCTTTGCTTAGCAGTGTTGTCATGGGCTGAGCTTTTGGATGCTAGTGTAGAGAAGAAAAATCAGGGGCCGGAGAGACGGTTTAGCAATTAAGAATACAAACTGCTCTTGTACCTACACACAACACACACACCTATAATTAAAAAGCAATGATGAAAAGAAATCAAACTTGGACAGAAAGTAGAAAAATAGAAAGCTATTGAAATGGAAACTGAATGTCTAAAGGGGGAAATGAGGTCTGTAGAGGTTTCTGTCACAGTAAACATTAAAGGCTTACTTTATGTGTATGGATGGTTATCTTTGCACCGCCTGTGTACCTGGTGCTCATGGAAGCCAAAAGAGGGCATCCGATTCTCTGGAACTGGAGTTCCAACAGATAGTTGTGAGCTACAATGTCTTTGCTGGGATTTGAACCCGGATCTTGTAGAAGAGCAGTCAGTACCCTTAACCACGGAGACATATCTTTCCAGCTCCTGAACATACCTTAAAAGATTTTTTTAAAGTAAAATTTTGCTTAGAGCTCTGAATATTTTTTAGCAAATAAGTGACTTGTCAGTTGAGTGGCTAGAGGGGAGGAGGAGAGTAGAATGGTGGAGCTGAAGTTGTCTTTTCTGTACTTTACAGTGGCATCACTGTTTGAGCTATGAGCTGTTTCTCTGCCTGTCACCTGTTAATCTATCTGTTATCTATTTGCCTATAACTATGTTTCTATCATCTATCTATAATCTGTCACCTATCATTTATCTTTAGGCTATTATTGCTTTATAGCTCTCTGTCATTTATTATTTAAAAATTTTATTTCTTTCATATAGCTCATATTTACTTTTTTTATTTTATTTTATATTATAATCACAGTTCTCCCTCCCCCGCCTCCCCCTTTACTTCCTCCCATCCCAACCCCATCTCCTCCTCCCAGCTGGTAAGGGCTCCCACGGGAGTCAACAAAGTCTGACTTATCATTGACCCTTTCTGCCTCTCAGTGGTGTTCAAATGCTTCCTGTGGATTCTGGATGTCCTTTCTTTTAGAATTCTTTTTCAACTTGTCTGTGACAGCATAAAAATATTTTATTGCTACAAAGATACAATTTATCACTTGTTTATTATTTTTGAAAGGTGTAAGTAGGAATACATTTATGTTAGTTGTTAAAATTTGAAGAAATAAGTTTAATATTTGATTATGAGAGATGTGTCAATGACTTACATATTTTTTTTAAAAAATGAAACTTATTTTAACTTTTTTTCCAAAGTTGGCCAGGAATACTTTGTCCTGATCCTTTCAGAGGGAAATATGTGGCCTATGACCAGGATGGAAATGTTGACAAGTATCACATAGAATTTCTGGGTGACCCCCATTCAACGGCATGGATAAGTGCAACATTTGTGGGGCATTTTAGTCTCTCGTTAAAGGTGGGTACGATAACATAAAAACTTTATGCTTTCTGCAGTTTCCTTTACTTACTGTCAATTTTTATCTTAGATAATAAAACATATTTACATTTGGATTTATATAAACAAAATAATGCATAGTATGCTTCTACATCGGAACATGATTTTTTTTTTCAAAGAAATTGTGGGTGTAAAATAGCAGTGAGAGTTTTAAACTTTTCCAGTGGCAATGTAGTAACAGTCAACTGAAGAATGCACTTTAAAGTGGGTTTAAGATTGTCATTTCAAATTCTCTTGAGACCAAGTTTCTGCATCAGTCACAGAAAAGTATTTACAGAGGACAACAAATTTTTCAAATTTCAGAGCATTTTGTTATACTAACTCTTTTGTGCCTTTGCACTCTTTTTAGACTTTAATTTGCACATTAAAATTAATTTATAGGTTGGATTCTCAGGCTATGGATGAGAGATGAGCTGGACCTGTTCCCAAGGAGTAGCTGTAGTGAGTGCCAGCCAGCTCAATTTTCTGGGCTTACACTGGACTCTGTAGCCTTTTATCTGAAAATACTGGATGATAGACAACAGACTTTCTTAGAATTCCTTCTAAAGCAGGGGGAAGAGGGAGGTAAATTGTACAAGGCATTTGAACTTTATTTTTTAACACCGAGCAAAGGATTCTAGTAGTAGATTGTTCTGCCTATAGCTGATGAAATTTTATTTTATAGTTTGGTTCAACAGATAGTCAAATACTTTAGAATCTCCATTAACAATGGACAATACATTTATAATACCTCTATAACATGAGGTAGAAATGAATTTGTCTAGAAAGACAGTGTTACATGCATTTGTGAGAAAAAGAAATGTTTTTTTTTATATAATGAAAAATAATTCTCCCTTTCAGTTCAGTCATGTTTGTTTATGGATCTGCTGACTTAATTTAATTACTGAACTCACAGAAATACTCAGTTGCTGTGCAGCCTCTACACACAAGTGGAAGGTTTTCCTTACCAATAATTATTACACTTCTGGAGACATTGAGGTGTGCTTTGAAAAGAGTTCAAGGCAATGTAGAGTTAGCATCTGAAGATACAGGTGCTCCAGGACAAGCATAAAACATAAGTCCCTGAGAAAATATCATCTCCAGAATACTGGGAAATGCCACTGTTCTGAGTTTAGACTGTAGAGTTGTAATTTATATTAGTGTGTTCATATAGTCTTCATTAGACCCCTAAAATCCACTCCTCCCATGTTAAAGAACACTTGCTTCTCTTAAGAGTTCAGTGAGAGCCACACGGAGGTGGCACAAGCCTTTAATCCCCACACTCGGGAGGCAGAGGCAGGTGGATCTCTGTGAGTTCCAGGTCAGCCTAGTCTACAAGAGCTAGCTCCAGGACAGGCTCCAAAGCTACAGAGAAACCCTGTCTTGAAAAAACAAAACAACAAACAAACAACAAAACAAAGAAAGAGTTCAGGGAAAAGATTCTGAGATGATGGACTAGGAAACATTAATCTGGTTTTGTCTAGTCCATAACCACAATGGCAGATCTGTCCAGTGTAACTAATCTGAGCTCTGGAGTGTAGTAAAGGTTTGTGACTTCCAGGGAAAGGTTGGGCTGTATAGAGTTAATTTTAGTCAGCCTGCGGATTTAGTGAAGTAGTAGCTACCAGACCATCACCCATACCTGTATCAGGCAGCTGTTATGCAGTTCCTAGAGAAACTTAGCTCTCAAGGTGAGCTGGCAAACAGGCCCCTGTCCCCAAACCTGGGGATGTTTACTCTTCAGTGTTGCCTATGATCACAAGGCTGCATAGAATGACGATGATGGGCCTTGAGGTTGCCCCCTTCCATTCTGCACGCTTTTTTTCTCCTCAGCTGAAGTCGCTTCCAGTGTAGTGAGAGATTAAGACACTTTGTTCCTCACCTTGACAACCCCACTTTTTTGCTTTCTCTTTTTGGAACCTGTGTGTGTACATGTGTGTTTATGCCATATACTTTAAAGATGAGAATGCTAAGATCCTAGAGAACAACCGCGTGTACGAGAGTTAGAAAATGACTGTGCAGACTGACGGCATGCATGACCTGAGAAGTGCTGTCATTTATAAAGAGGTGGGGGACCAAGGCCGGTCTCATGAGGAGCAGTGGCGGGCCACCCGAGGCCTCGGCGGGTTCCCTTGGCAGGTGGGAGACGACTGCCAGTGAGAGAGACAGACAGACAGGCCATGCAGAGAGTTTGAGTACAGAGTTTATTTAGTGGATTATGGAGGGGAGAGGGAAGGGGGAAGAAGGGAAGGGGAGAAAGGGGGAGAGAGGGAGAGGGAGGGAGGGAAGGAGGGAGGGAGGGAAGGGGGAAAGAGGCAGCAGTTACCTCTTCAGAAAAACAAAAATGGTGAAGGAAGGGGGAAGAGGGTCTGAGAGACAGTATGACACCATTCTGGCAGCAGGCGTATCAGAAGGACAAGAGAGATTGGAGCAAAGAGCATCTGAAAAAATAATGGCCTAAAACTATGTAAATATGGTAGAAGACATACTGTAAATATCCAGGGAACTTAGGCAGGATGAAGACATAGTGGTTGGAAGGAGGCAAACTTGACAAAGGTGAGGAGAAGCTGAACTAACAGGGAAAAGGGACACCTTCCATATGCACATTCTCAGTCCAGGTGTTAGCAGCCTACTGTCAGAATGTTCCTGGCCCAAAACAATATGGTATGTATGTTCAAATTACCGAAAGGAAAACTGTCAATAAAAAAAGCCATGGGGACAAAACTGTCCTTCAAAATTGATAGAAATAAAAATATTCCCAGATATAGAAGCTGAGAGAGAGCTCATTTCCATGAAATCTGCCTGCGTTGAAACACTCAAGGAACCTGCAGGGTGAACTGGAAGAACCCAGACAGTGCCTTGAAGCCAAGTTAAGGAATAATAAAAATCTCAATAAAGATAAACACATGAGAAAACATATAAAAGCTAGTATTGTAACAATATTGTGTAACTCTACTTTTTATATCCTAGATGATTTGAGATTTTTTTAAAATGTTTTAGAGACAAGTATTAATGAGTTTTATCTACATTTTATGTACATAAGAAAGTAATCAATGTAAAGAATAATTAGTTTACACTGTAGATGAAAATAAAAATAATTTTATACCCTCAAGAATTGAAAGACTTGGGGTAGAACCCTTGAAGGCGTGAAACTTTTGTGTATTTCCAAAGACAGGCTGATGTAATTTCAAATTTCAGTGTTAAGGCCTCATATTTTTAGAAAACTATTTACTGTAACTATGTTTATGAATGTTTTGTCTGCATGTATGCAAGGCATATAGTCTGGGTGCTCACAGAGGCCAGAAGAGGGTCCTGGGAGCCCTGGAACAAGAGGTAAAGACAGTTGTGAACTACCACCTGGAACTGCTTTTCTGGAAAAGCAGCAAGTGTTCTTAACCTCTGAGCAATTTCTCCAGATCCCACTATTGATGGTTTTAGTTATAGTTTCCATGTTACTAAGAAGACAGCTAAAAAGTGAGATAGCAAGGGTAGATGGCATGGCGGTGTGCATCTTCAGCCTTGCAGTGCAGCTTACTGTAAGCTTGCTGAGGTTTGTCTCATCATTTGCCAGAATTGTTCATTATACCCAAGTAGGATTTATCCTAGAATGCAAAGATGTATCCACACATGACAATCATCAGGGCAGTGTACAAAATTAACAGGATGAAGGGGAAACATAATTTCAATTGATGCAGAAAATTATTTGGCAAGGTTCCACACCCTTTATGATAAAACACTCAACAATAAGCAGTAGAAGGAGCCTGCCTCCACATAGTAAAGTCATTTATGAAAACACTGGAGTAAGTGTCATGCTCCCTTATAGGAGACTGAAGGTTGCTCCTGCAGAGGCAGGAGTGAGATGCAGGTGCCTTCTCTTACAGCTCGTTCACTTACTCTTCTGCAGGAAAGAAAGAACAAACATCCACACTGGACAGGAGCAAGAGAAATCGTCTATGTTCACAGAGAGTACAAAATTCTTACATAATCTTTATGGAACACACACACACATGTTAGAAATGACAAGTTAATGAATTAAGCAAAGTGCAGAATACAAATTCAACATCCAATTGTCAGTTGCATTTCTATACACTAACTATAAACAACCTGAAAGGGAACTCATGAAACCGATTCTATTTATAATAGTATCAGAAGATAGTGATCATTAATCTTGTTCATGAGCACTTTCTAGTTCTCTCACTTTTGTTTTTTTTTTTCCTTTTTGAGTTATTTTGAAGATTTTTTTTGTTTTTAATAAAGTATATGTGTGTGTGCCTGTGTGTGGGTAGGTGAAAATGATTCCAGTACCTAAAAGACCAGAGGAGGGCATGATTCCAGTACCTAAAAGACCAGAGGAGGGCATAAGATCCCTTGAAGTTGAAGTTACAGGAAGTTGTGAGTCACGCAGTAGGGATTCTGGGAACAAAACTCAGGTCCTTTGCAAGATAGCAACTGCTTGTAACCCCTGAGCCATCTCTCCTGCTCCTAGACTTTTTAAAATATTATTTTTTTTTACCTCTGCTTTTGGTATGTGTGAATGTGAGTGCACAGAGAAACAGAAGAGTGCATGGATTCCTTGGGTGTGGGACATGAGCTCACAGCTCTTTTTCCTTGTAGTAGTGACTGCTTATGTTAGAGGTTGGTTTGCCACCTCCTTGGCCGGGATCCTGACCATGTCAACACATAACAGACAGTGCAGTACACTGTGGCAAGCTCCCAGGGTTACTATGAGACATTCTCCAGTGATAGTACTGTTTCCCAAAGGCCAGTCCTGTAATCTCTTGAGAATTTGCCTAAATGGCTCATCATTTTCTTCTAATTTCCCTGTCTATAAACATAGCTTGTTATTCCATAGTAATTTATCAAGAATTCTGTAAATGAAACTACCAAGATGATTAGAACACTAAATATAGCTTGTTCTATGACATGTTCTCTCACAAGTACTCTGATGGCAACATGTGCTATGGATAATTCCAATAATGAGA